CAACATTCTAATTGAGAATAGTCAGTATGGTTTTAGGTTGAAAATCAAGATTCGATGTGCATGTTTGAACTATATTTTGCTAGTAAACATTGTAGAATAATGCTTTTGAACGTGAAATGTGCCATTTATTTGTTGCTAGTTTCTTGATCATGTGATAAAGAGGGGAAGAGTGTCTGGAATATGATGAAAATCATCACTTGTTTTTTCACGTTGTTGATACCATTTGAAATGAGCAAAAGTTTGTTCCTAAAAGTATCAAAAAGCAATTTGTGCAGTATAGTAAATGTCGATTTGATCCTTTATTTTGTCCTAGTTCAAGTACCTGTTCCTTTTTCCCTTCCCCCTCTTAAACTGGTGTGAGGGTCCATTATTGCAATTTGCACGGATCTATATTCCTATTAATTTATTGAGTTTAGGGTGGTCCTTGGAGAACTCTAGTCTGCATGATTGATTTTCTTTCCCTTTCTTTTGTTAAAAGTTAATAAATTCCTTTCATCTGTGTCTTTTGGCTCCTTTCTTCAATGGCAGCATAAATTTTTTGTTCTTAAAGAGGTGAAAAAACAGTTTAAAAATTGATTGGAAATTTCAGAGATTTTTAGGAATACAGTATACCTTTTTCTTTTGCTATTGAAAATATAAGGAGTGCTTGGCTTTTAAAGTTTGTTAAATTGAATTGTCAAGAATTGGATTTAGATGATTTTCTTTAGTTTCTTCTTTCCTTACTTTCCTTAAACAAATGAACAGAAAGCTGCAACTTTAGCTGATTCATCACCTGCATCAGTTCCACTACCACTTCGTGTTGAGCCCAAACCAAAAAGTGGGATTAGGTACTCTCTCCTTTCCCAATGAGTCATATGAATGCATTAAGTAACAAATGATATAAATTGTCTTTCAGTGGGCGCTACAAGTCTAATTTACTTGACTTGTCCTTTGTAGACAGCAAGATCTGTTGAAAAAAGTTGTAGAAATTAAGCCCAAGCGATTGAAAGTTTCTAGTCCACTTGAGGTAACTGTGAATAACTCCTTAATTTCTAGTGATTTTGGTCACAGAAGTCCGAAATCGGAAGTTGACAAGGTGAAGGAGAAAGGGCAGATTTCTTTGACTTCAAAGAAAGCAGGTGAGGTTGAAGTAGAAGAAGGTGAGACTAAAATAGAAACCCCTGTTAAAAGTTTATTAGGTCTAGAATATGCTAGTTCTGATGATGAAGATGACTGATTGTAAAGTGGAATTTTTGCAAAGAGAATGACCAATTTAGTAGCTTTTAACTGTCAACTGAGATTGTGTCTTGTTTATTATTACAAGTGTTTCCAAATGTTTGAGGATGATTACCTCCCAACCAGATGATTGTCTATTATCACATAGAAAGTAGGAAAACAGTTTGTACCTTGCAAGTGTTTTCATGCTGGAATGCAGAGTTATTTCTTCTATCCCCTTTCTTGATTCAACATCATATCAGAGCATTGGTAAGTTCATAGATTCACATGTAATAGCTGAATGGATGCAACTTCACATAATACATAATCATAGCAGCTTACAAATTGATAAAGATCAGAGAATTATTTCACATACATATCAGATAATTTCACTTATTCACATAGATCAAAGTATCATATACAACAAGAGCTTAATAGCACTGATTCACACAGATCAGCACGTAATTTCTCATATACAACATTTCAGATATCAGATCATCAAATTACTGTTTGTCTCTCCCTTTTATCATCAATGAAAAATCAGCAAGGGTTATAATTTGCAGATTTCCTTCCACATAGTATCAATAGTCTGAAGCATCCACTGTACAGCTATTGCAACCAAAAGTGAGTTTATGCTCACAATCACAAAAGAATGACTCGATAAAGATTTCATTAACCAATACTTAGAAACACTTCTAAACATCATTTGGAAAGATTTTTCAGAATTTTCTCTATTGGTTCTGATTACATGACAAAATGACTCGATAAAGATTTCATTAACCTATACTTAGAAACACTTCTAAACATCATTTGGAAAGATTTTTCGGAATTTTCTCTATTGGTTCTGATTACATGACAACCTAAGAGAGAAAGTGAATGGGAAATTTCAGATATTTTAGTTTTTATATATATACGTATATGTCTTTCTAAATGTGTTAGTCTTGGAAATTCATGAAACCTACAGTAATTTAATTCATTAGATGCCAATAGCACCTGATCACTTTTAGTTAACATATTGTCTCAACATCACTATACACTTAGTTCAATACTGCTCAGTATGATGAATAATTAATTAATTTTTCTGATCTCTTTTCACCGTATCTCATAACATTACCACATTTTGTTTACTATCTGAAAGTATTATAGAACTTCTACTCTTTTATAGGTTTGTAAACACCTTATGTAACTAAGCTATCTAGTCACTTAGCTTTCTACACAATACTACAATTTATTGACGTGTATTTCTTCATTTATTCATAATTCAAACGGTAAATTGATGAAGCGTGTGCATATTAGAAAACATTAAGATAATTAAAGTAGTCGAATACCTTACTTAAAAGCAGGTGAATGAAATCAATAGCTAAAATAAATTACTCAAGCAAGAACTAGAGTAAGATGTAAGGAAAAAAAAGTTGTCCTCAAGAATTTATAATATTAAGTCATAATCGGTACCTACATCCTCTCGTCAAAATTGATCACTTGAGAATTTTACTGAGAACTTCTTTAGCTAAAAGATCTTATCTTAAATACGACTTGCAAGCTAAAAGATGTGCTTGTGCGAATGTGTGGCGTAGACTGATTTAATAATAGAAGAGGGTTGTGGGAGGAGACCATCAACTTGAAGAATGTAGTAAACGCTCCTTGGGTCATGGGAGGTGATTTTAATGTGCTCATATTTTCTTATGAAAGGTTGGGAGTGAGTAGGAGTGTTGAGGTAGAGGTAGATTTGTTGGCACTTGTTAGAGAGCTAAATTTAACGGATTTTGCCTAAGGAAGGTAGGAAGTTTACGTGGTCCAGTAGGGGAGTTGTTTCAACCTTTAGTAGGTTAGATGGGTTTCTGATGAGCGTTGCTAATGCAAATTCTAACTGTTGTACAGTTGGGTGAAGGAGAGTGGATCTGAAAAGTTTTTTTTATATTAATTCAGTGGTAGATAGGAAAGATATTCAAACTTAATAGCCAAAAAGTGGAATAGCTTTGACGTGGTTGGTTTACCTAGCTTTAGGTTGGCTGAGAAAGTAAGGGTGTTAAAGAAGGAATTTAGACTGTGAAGAACAATAGTATAGGGGCAATTGATAAGAAAATCAATAAATGTGTGAAAAGCTAGATAATAGCATGAGAGAGATGCCAACAACATCTGGAGCAAGAGTGGGTGGGGGAGTCATTTAAAAAGTAAGCTAGAATTTCTTGTGATTATGAAGAACATAAGAACATCCAGGTCAATTGATATATTTAATCCAGGTTCACTACTTTGGGCCTGTACCTAGGTAGATTTAGTTTGATCACTTTCTGTCTGGGAACACTTGCGAATATGTCTAGGAAACTCACTGTTGTTTAATCTTTTTCGCCTTTCATTGATCAAAGAAGCCTCCTGATCATTATTGGTCTTTTTCTTAGTTATTATCACATCAGGCATACTGCAGGACTCATGGGCAATTAAAGGAACAAAGGTCCCCCCAAGGAAAGGGGAAACAATCTAAGATCAATGAAGTGTCCTCCTATGAATCATATGGCCATCTAACATTAAAAGACAACACATCCAGACCAAAGAATAATGCAATTAGTTGATGACCTTCATCCAGTAGAACCAATCCTCAGTCAACATGGCACAACATCCTCTAAATTCTCATATGAATCAAGCCTAGTGGGGTTCTCTAGTATGCAGTTATGTTTTAATGCATGCTCATTAAAATTAGATGAAAGCATATATATATATATATATTCCTTGGATCACAGACACTGAACATCATACCATATTATTTATACACCACAACTATACACTGAAATCACTTCAAATACTGCTTTTAACGTTGTGGTGCCTAATGGAGAAAGGTAGATGTGTCACATGTTGATATGATTAAATTGAGTGATAATCCTTCATTGTGATCTTTGGTAACCCTGTAATGAAACTTCTTATAATGGTTATAAATATTTATTGTCAATTCTTGATGATTGTAGTATATGGGTATATGTAATGAAAAGCAAGGCTCAGATCAGCCTGCACTTGGAAATATTTTTGTATGCTTGTTGAAACCTAATTTTGCAAAAAAGTGAAGATAATTCAAAGTAGTAGTGGAAAAGAGTTTGAGATGAAAAAAAATTATGATGAAAATGGGATCAATAAAAATTACCAACAAGTACTCAACATCGCCAATTGAAATTCCAAAGTGGATTAGACCTAAGGTATTGGCGTGATTTCATACTTATTGAAGTTTATTTTATTAGTAGAATTCTTTCACCAAAGATAGGTAATAAAACACCATTTGAGATGTTATATAGAAAACAACTAGAATGATCATTCGAGGGTCTTTGGATGTTTAGCATTTGCATCTATTTTGGCAAGTGCTAGACATAAATTTGGTGCAAGAGCTAGAAAATGTATCTTTCTGGGATATCCTTTTGGTATTAAATGGTGTAAATTATAAGATATGGAGAAACATAATGTAATCATATCAAGAAATATTATATTTCATAAATAGGTATTTCCTTACAGAGATTAAAAGAAGAATCCCAAACCTCACCAAGGCCTGACCCAGTGAATACACCAAAAGTCATGATTCCCTCATGAGTAGAGAGTTAAACCTTAGAGAAAGAAGGAGAAATCCAAGAACAAAAGTAAAAATATCAAGTAAAATGGAGGAGGTAGCCTTAAATAAGGAACAAGGTAGTGGGGAGCAAGGGATACAACAAACACTTGCACATGAAGAAGTTGGGATTGATGAAGCTCTCTCAAGAAGAAAGTGCACTAGAGTGAAGGAGACACCAATGTACTTAAATGATTATGTATGTGAGCAGATGAGGAATCAGAGTGATAATTCAGAACAAACAGATAGAGAAGACTCTTAAACAAATGAAGCCATCCTTATATTGAGCACTATTGGGTATGCGAGGATTGAAGGTGGACACAAAAAGTGCATACTAACTGTGGCATTCCAAGTGGAAGCAAATTCATTTAAAGAAGCCAACAAGAATGTTGAATGGAGAACTGTCGTGCAAAATGAACTCTAAGTTCTTGACGAGAGCAAGGCATGAAAGAATGTGGATTGTCACTGGGAAAGAAAATAATCAAGTGTAAAAAGGTATGCACGGTGAAGTTTAAGGCAAATAGATCTATTGAAAGGTATAAGGCAAGATTAGTGACAAAAAGTTATACCTAGAGAGAAGGTCTGGACTACCATGAGACCTTCTCTCTAGTGGCAAAGATAGTCTTAGTTCGAGTAATGCTAGCCCTAGCAGCAATAGAGGGTTGACATGTTAGACAATTCGGTGAAAATAATGCTTTTCTGCATGGAGACCTAAATGAAGAAGTATACAAACAATTACCACATGGAGACCTAAATGAAGAAGTATACAAACAATTACCACCTGGACACCTGAGAAGAAGGAAAGGAAAAGTATGGAGATCACTAAAAAGCTTGTATGAACTCAAACAAACATTTAGATAATGGCATACGAAGTTCTCAGATTTCATCATCAAGCAGGGGTTCAACCAATCTAAAGCACCTTTTCATGAAAAAAAGTGGCAAGTTTCATATCCTTGTATATGTAGATATTATAATTGTTGTTAGTGATAATGAAAGTATGATAAATGAGTTGAAAGAAACGCTAGACAATAAATTTAAAATAAAAAACTTACGAAGTTTAAAGTGCTTTCTTGGGATAGAAGTTGCCAAGTCTCGAAAGGGAATATACATATGTCAAAGGAAGTATAAGTTGGACTTATTAAAGGATGCATGTGTCTTGGTGGTAGAGTTCCAACACTACCACTATAGCTGAACAGGAAGCTATCCAATTATGTAGGAGAACCAAATAAGGACCCAACAATATATAGGAGGATGATTGGGAAACTCATGTACTTGACACGCACCATATCAGACTTGACATATTTAGTGCAAAGTCCTAAGGCAATTCATGCAGAGTCTCAGGAGTCATCACTTGAATGCAGCTTACAAGCTATTGAGGTATATTAAAGGAACTCCAAGATAAGGTTTGTTTTACTCAAGCCTATCTAATTTGAAATTAAATGCTTGTACTGATAATACTTATGCAGGATACCTTAACACAAGGAGATTTATCATAGACTATTGCATTCTACTTAGAAATTCGCTTGTGTATTGGAAGTGCAAGAAAAAAACAGACAGTTTCTAGGTCATAAGCATAATTAGAGTATAGAGGTATGACTAATCTTTGTTGTGAGTTAACTTGAATCAGGTATCTCTTGAATAGTTTGGGGGTCAGTCATCTAGAGGCAACAATACTACATTATAATAACAAAGTAACCATACATATAACTGCTAATTCTGTGTTCCTTAAGTGAAAAAAATACATTAAATTAGACTGTCACGTGACCAGAGAAATGATTCGGGATTGAAGTGTATCGACCAGATGTGTGAGCAGCAAGCAACAATTGACGGATATTTTTATGAACACTCTATCTAGTTAGTTGCTTAAACA